TCTTGGAACAAGCTTCCGTCTTGGAATAGGCTCCCGTCTTGGAATAGGCTCCCGTCTTGGAACAAGCTTCCGTCTTGGAATAGGCTTCCGTCTTGGAATAGGCTTCCGTCTTGGAATAGGCTCCCGTCTTGGAACAAGCTCCCGTCTTGGAATAGGCTCCCGTCTTGGAACAAGCTTCCGTCTTGGAATAGGCTCCCGTCTTGGAATAGGCTCCCGTCTTGGAACAAGCTTCCGTCTTGGAATAGGCTCCCGTCTTGGAATAGGCTCCCGTCTTGGAACAAGCTTCCGTCTTGGAATAGGCTTCCGTCTTGGAATAGGCTTCCGTCTTGGAATAGGCTCCCGTCTTGGAACAAACTCCCGTCTTGGAATAGGCTCCCGTCTTGGAACAAGCTCCCGTCTTGGCCTTGAAACAAGCTTCAGTCTTGGACTGGAGGCTTTAGAGAGCTTTTTCGACATACAATTTACCCAGAGATTCCCATAGATTCCCAGAGATTCCAGAAATTCAAGAAGTTCCAGAAATTCCGAAATTCCGAATTTCCAGAAATTCCGCTCAAATTCCGCTCAAATTCTTTCTTTTCACAAAATTGATTTGTGATATTGTTTGTGATCACTTTTTTGAGTGTTTCATGCCCAAAAAGAGAACAAAAGCTTGCCGGTGCCCGAATTGGAGCATTAAAATTCAATCGGGGAAAAAAAACGAGTCGAAAATTTGACGAAAACACACTTTTTTCTGTGCAAAAATCGTTGATTCACACAAAATAAACTTCTTTTTTTTTTATTTTGTTTGCTTCGTCTTTTCTTCTTGTCTTCTCTTCTCTTCCCTTCTCTTCCCTTTTCCCCAACTTTATCCACAAATTATCTTGAAAATTAGTACGCTAAAGTACCGTTTTTCTATAGTCAAAATAGCACTTTAGTGCACTTTTCTATTTCACTCTATAACTCGACTTGCAATTGTCAGATCGACTTGTGGTTAGTTTTAAAATGATTCTTATGAAATTTGGTTATAGAAAACTACAATTTGTTTTGTATACTTATGTAGAAGAACACAGAGAAAATTAGTGTCAAAGTTGAGCCTCCAAATAGAATTCTGGGGGTTTGGGAACTTTTCTAATTTACTCTATAACTCAACTTCCAGTGATCAGATCGACTTGTGGTTGGTTTTAAAAGAATCCTCATTAAATTTGGTTATAGAAAAGTACAATTTGTTTTGTATATTTATGTAGAAGAACATAGAGAAAATTAGTGTCAAAGTTGAGCTTCCAAATTCTCGGAGTCTCGGAGTTTGAGAGCTCTTCTATTTCCCTCTATAAGACTCCAAGTGATCAGATCGACTTGTGGTTGGCTTTAATTCAATTTCATCGGGATATTATTGAACAACCAAGCTTTACCAGACCAATTTCCGCCAATTTTTCCCTTTCCTTTTCATTTTTTGCCTTTCCCGGATTTTTCTCGAAAAAAACTCGTAGATTTAAGAATTTTTTCATAAAAATAAGCTAGATTCGTCTAGGTTAGCAGGGAATTTTTTTCAGAATTCCTTTAGAATTCCTTTAGAATTCCTTTAGATTCATTAGCGTTTATAGCTCCACGTCTAGCTTTGTAAAACTTCTCATCCACGCCTCTTTTCCATTGACATTGACAATCCAACTTTGAGCTCGAATTTCTTGGTGTTGGATTATTCAATTGAAGTGTCCTTGGTGTCATTAGATTCAGCAAGTCTTTCTCTATCGATTCGTTTTAAAAAGTATTCGATCGAGACAGATTACGGTAGTTTTTGAGACATTTTTTCACGAAATCACTTTTAGTCGAAATTTTTTGAAATTCAAATTTCGATTCAAATTTGAAAGCCAACCAAAATAGTGTCACTTTTCTTCGCTTGATTACCCAATTCTGTGGCTCTTCTCTCCAAGGAAAGCAAGGGATAAGCCAAAGCTTTTCTCTAAAAGTCTCCTCTCAAAGGGAGAAAAGATAACTCCATTTTGGCGGTGAAGCCGAAACGCCTCTTTTTCCCTCAATCTTTTCACAGCCACCCACACAGCCATGACCCCTCATTTGCTTCGTTTTTTACTCCTTTCTTCCTCTTCTTCCTCTTCTTCCTCTTCTTCCTCTTCTTCTTCTTCCTCTTCTTCATCCTCTTCTTCCTCTTCGCAAAACGCAGATGCTTGATCTAATCCAGCCTTGGTCTATAATATATGGCTCTCCAAGCTCCAGCTCTCCAAGCTCCAGCTCTCCAAGCTCTAGCTCGTTATGACTCGAGATTTTTTTGTGTTGTTCTTGTTCTTGTTCTTCCTCTCCTTCCTCTTCCTCTTCTTCTTCCTCTTCCTCTTCTTCTTCCTCTTCTTCCTCTCCTTCCTCTCCTTCATCTTCTTCCTCTCCTTCCTCTTCTTCCTCTTCTTCTCCTCCTTCTTCTCCTCCTTCTTCTTCTCCTTCTCCTTCTTCTCCTCCTTCTTCCTCTTCTTCTTCTTCTTCTTCTTCCTCTCCTTCCTCTTCTTCCTCTTCTTTCTTCCTTTTTTTTGTTCTTCCTTTTAACTTTTCCATCCAACCTTTTCTGGACCTTTAGCAGCTTTCTGAACCAATTTTCAACTTTTAAGCATTTGTTTTCAAGAAAGATCAAATTTTCATTCTTCTTTTTGTATTTTGTCAGCTTTCCTAACGATTTGCAAATAAATTTCCTTGAAAAAACAGAAAACAAAAATTTTTTTGGCAGCAACCGGACTCGAACCAGCGATGCTTCGCCTCGGAGCCAACCGCGCTAACCAATCGGCCATCATGAAAAGTGCTTAAAATCGTTCAAAAATAGCTCAAAATCTTCTGTGACATCCAGATCTTGTGGAAAACTTGTTATCCAATTAATTTTCCCATCGACTAACCAGTGAAATGAGACTGAACCCTTTTTTTCGCAACCATTCATCATTTCTAGAGCCGATTAAACCGAAGCTGACAAAAAAGTTAAAACCAAGGCTAGCCAAGTCAAAGCCAAAGCTAATGGCTTGGTCTTAGCCTGAAATTTCAATCTTACTGTTGAATTTGGCTTCGGTTAGCTTGAAAAGCGGGTGATGACACGAAAATTAGGGTTTGAAGGCAGAAATGAGCGGAAAGATGGGAAAATGAATTGGATGATAAGTTTTCTATAAGGTCTGGATGTCACAGAAGATTTTGAGCTATTTTTTGAACGATTTTAAGCACTTTTCGATGAAAAATCGGGTTTGAACGGTTTGAAGGCGAAAATGGGCGAAAAATATGGGAAATTGAATTAAATAACAAATTTTCCATAAGATCTGGATGTCACAGAAGATTTTGAGCTATTTTTTGAGCGATTTTGAGCACTTTTCGTGATGGCCGAGTGGTTAGCGAGCTTGGCTTTGAGGCGAAGGGTCGCGGGTTCGAGTCCGCTTGCTGCCAGAAATTTTTGTTTTTTTTGTTTTTTCAAGGAAATTTGTTTATAAATCGTTAGAATAGCTTTAAATAGTGGCTTGGCTTCAGCTATTGAGCTATTGACAGCTATTGAGTCAAAGAAAAGCGAAGAATTGCCAATCACGGTTCTAATGATCCTTAAGCCTTAAGAATGTAAATTAACTTCCCGTGACTTCCAGCTTGACTAAAAATTGACTCCATTTCCAAAAATCATTTCATTTTCAAGAGAAATTGAGTTGAACTTGATATCGAGCCATTTGCTTGCTATCTAACTACACTAGGGATACTGTAACGAAGTGAAGGGTAAAAGCTGGATGTCACAGAGGATTTTGAGATAATTTTTGAACGATTTTAAACACTTTTCGTGATGGCCGAGTGGTTAGCGAGCTTGGCTTTGAGGCGAAGGGTCGCGGGTTCGAGTCCGCTTGCTGCCAGAAATTTTTGTTTTTTTTGTTTTTTCAAGGAAATTTGTTTATAAATCGTTAGAATAACTTTAAATAGTGGCTTGGCTTCAAGCAGAGAGCTATTGAGTCAAAGAAACGCCAAAAAAACGACTCCAAAATCGAACAATAGGCTAATTTTTGGGAAAAACACAAAAAAGCATGGGAAAAAAGTCAAATTTAACATTTTACAGCTTCTATCTTGATTTCTATTCAAAAAACTTCGAAAAAAACATGATTTCTCATGGTTTTTCTTTCTATTTTTACTTGGAAAAATTATTTTTGACGATTTTTTTCAAACTTTTTTGATTTTTTTTCCAAATATTTGTGTTGATTCAATAAAAAGAAATGACACGAATCAAATCGTTTTTTTTTTTAAAAAGCTTATTTAGTCATGTTTTTCTTTGAGAAAACCCTTTTTTTCTCTCATTTACCTTTCCAGAACTCATTCACAGTATTACCATTCACCAATATCCTTTAAACCTCGTTGTTTTACTGATAACTAGTCGTCGTGAGTTCCAGATCGAAAGATTGACTGGTTAAAATATGTAAGTTATTGTCGAAAAGTACAGTAATCCCTTCCCAACTCATTCACAGGATAGCCATTCACCAATTTCCTTCAAACCTCGTTGTTTTATTGCTAGCTAGCCGTCGTGAGTTCCAGATCAAAAGATTAACTAGTTAAAATCTATAAACTATTGTCGAAAAGTACAGTAATCCCTTCCCAACTCAGACATAGTATTCGCATTCACCAATTTCCTTCAAACCTCGTTGTTTTACTGCTAGCTAGCCGTCGTGAGTTCCAGATCGAAAGATTAAAAAGAGAAAACTGTGATGTTAAAAGACTTTTCTCCATGACTGTATGCGAATTTGAATTCCCTTTCCTTCACAAACTCTCAAGGTGTTTTAACTCAAAAAAAACGATAAAAAAACACTTTCTGCGCCATAAAAATGGTATAAATTTACATTTCAAAGAAAAAAAATCGTCTAAATTCGAGAGTTTATCGTTTTTTTCTGAAAAAAAAAAACGAAAATTTCACTTTTTTCTTTGATTTTTTTTTGATAGATCGAATTTTGTCAAATTTTTTTTTCTAAATTCTTTTAAATCCATTTCTTTCAATCGAAATCCAAATTTTCCAATTTCCAGCAATGCCACCGTCGGCAAATTTATGCTGTTGTCGGCATTCGCGAAAAAAACCACTCACCGAGGGGATCCGACGGTCGACCGAAGTTGGGACAATGGTTTGTGCAAGAAAGTCGAGTACTTTGTGCTTGTTTCTGTGCAAAAACATCCCATCTGGCACGCACACAATCATTTGAGTGCGCCACATTTCGAGGATTTACGATTTTCGATTTTCGATTTTTTCGAGGCTCGCGAAACTCGTAAACACTCGCTTCTAGTGCACTCAAAAGAAAGTGTGCGTGCCAGATGGGGGTGTGTTTGCG